AATAATTAATGACCGCTCCCTTAGCATTGTAAGTGCTGTTAACTAACTACCGTGATGTGTTGTAGTTTACTATGCAATAACGTTTACAATAGCTAGGTAGAATAGTAAATAGGTAAAGCATTGGGGAATTAAAGCATTGTAAACCAAGAGAACAACAGAGTCAAGCCATCCATCGCTCGAGTGATCATCACTTATTCTCTCGAAGCTGTTCATTCTTAACTACTTGACAGCATTTAGATGAGTGTGGCTAGAAGTCGAGGGTCGAGGGTCGAGGGTAAAAAGTCGAGGGTCGAGGGTAAAAAGTAAAAGCACATCTTTTGTCGCATTTAAATGCCTAGTTAATGTGTACGAAGATACAGACAATTAGTTTTTCTATTTAAAAAAAAACAAAGTTAAGTTTTTCAACTCCAATTGAAGTATCTTTGTCAATATAGATACCATCTGGAGGCATAATTCGATTGCTTCAATAAATCCATTATTTTATCAGAAAATGGTCATGAAAAACTTCCAAAGCCAATGTGTAAGCTTTAGAGCAACCGTACAACTCACAGCCGTCAGTACAGTAATAGATAGTGTATGGTATGACTCACAGCTGTGATATCTAATAACAGTTGCACGACGTACGCGTCTTAATAAATATCGAACAGACCATTACGATTATAAGCATCGAAAGTTACTACATAGTCATGGCAGACTGAGTCGCCTTCAATAAGCCGTTTTGCAAGGCAAAACCGAAAAGTGATAAGACTGTACATTGCTTTTATAGGTGAACATATAACTGCATGGTCTAGTGTAGCCTAAAGTCTCAATTTGCCGCCGCGGCACTGCAGTCAGTGAAACTTCTTCTTCTTGACAGCATAGTCTGTTTGATTGTAGTCTCTCTCTGGAACTGAAACCAGATACTCTCTTAGAACTATTCCCGGGATTAGAACTATTCATGGCGGTTCATAATGCAAACAATTGCAGCACAGTTATATTATTACAAAGACTACTATTTACAGTTATATTACWATGTTATTTTTGTTATTTTTTACTACCAGGCTCAGAAGGCACGTGATTTTTATATTGTTGGTAAAGTTTTATTTAGCAAGACTTCCCCTTCAAGATTGACGTCTTAATTGGAAAATAAACACAAGTTGCCAATGGATGCTTTGCGAAATTTGATCTTTAGTCGATTTCCTGTGGTTTATTATCTATAGATGGCATTTCGGCGATCATCCGCATTTCGTTGCATCTGATTCGAACAACTGCTACAGTTCTACTACTTCTGTTTGCTGTGTTTTCTTCGAGACTTTATTTGTAAACTTAAGTTGTACGGTTGCTCTAAAGCTTACACATTGGCTTTGGAAGTTTTTCATGACCATTTTCTGATAAAATAATGGATTTATTGAAGCAATCGAATTATGCCTCCAGATGGTATCTATATTGACAAAGATACTTCAATTGGAGTTGAAAAACTTAACTTTGTTTTTTTTTTAATAGAAAAACTAATTGTCTGTATCTTCGTACATATTAACTAGGCATTTAAATGCGACAAAAGATGTGCTTTTACTTTTTACCCTCGACCCTCGACTTTTTACCCTCGACCCTCGACTTTTTACCCTCGACCCTCGACCCTCGGCTTCTAGCCACACTCCATTTAGATCGGTTTATGACGGATAATCAGATGGGCTTTTATTGTTCAAATCATTAGGTGTACTTAACTATATAATCTATTCCAGGAAGCAGGAAATACGTGGTACAATGAAATTTCCAGTCATAGGAAATCTTTCAAATTCAAATCTTTCAGTTAATAACTGTTAATTGTCTCTCTCTTTTGTTTTCTTCCTGTATTATTTTGCCTGTTTGCAGTACGACGTTTTGTCTTCTTCAGGTCTGGAGTTAAAGCGCGCAACTAAGAGCAATTTCATGCCATTTGCATTGGTTATCTTACTGACTTCTAATATTCTATCTGCCTGCATAGGAAGAGTTTTAGAACGTACCGCAAACAGTTTTAGAGAAAAAGTGAGTAAACTTTACAATAACCAATATATACTGTCACCAAACATACACTGTACAATTATTAGCGATCCGAGACGATTGAGTTAATAATCCTGATGAACCAGGCCAACATTCCCTCGCCATTTATAGCTACTATAGTAATTTTTTATAACCTTATTAGTGAGTGCTATTAGTCACGAAATGCGGTGAAAATGCAAAACTGGCGAAACCGGTTGCGATAAATATCTACAACAGAGATGAAACCGTCGTTTAAAGATTATTCATCGTTTTTCTTCTATCAAAGAATAAACATACTAGTTTCTTCACAGAGCCTTTTCTTCCTTTGATCGTAAAAAAAGCCATTTTCGTTGCAATATAAAGATGAGTGTGTTGAATGTTACCGGTACTGAAGTGGTGAGTTTTCTTTTTATTCTTCTGAGAAAGAAAGAAGGTGCTTTTCGAAGACTAGACTCCAGTGATAAAACGTATAACTGAGCCGGAAAAAAGTATCTGACATCTGTTATAGCGATATTGGCTTTCTTTAAGTTTTTGTTCTTTTGTCCAGTATTCGTGGGTGCAAAAAATGGATTCATCTGCAAAAGTCAGCAGGCGATTTGACAATGTTACTATCTTTGTTTAGAGTTCGACAACTGACAGAGATGAACTTTTATGAATACCAACCATCTTAAAAACAGTCCTCTTAGCAAAGTGGCGTATGATTCTTATTCTCCAGCAATAAATGAGAGGATTGAGACTCGAGTTTAAAAATGCAATTGGAAAGACGACGTTGAGGACACCACGAGAAAACGGGTCCCATTCGAGAAGAACGCAGACAGCCAGTGCTGTCATGTAGAGTACAAAGCAAAGCACATAAGTCCCCACAACGTATAACATTGTAACGACTGACTTTTTCATTTGGGACATTTGAACACAAGTGATGATTCTGTTATGAAGAGGGTCTCCGGTTTCATCTGGGTTTACTTGTATAACAAGCTTGCGAACTGTTTGACCAATCTTGATGTAACTGATAACAGTCGCCAACAAGAAGAAAGAAAACACTGTTGCAAAAGCAGTTACTAGAGACTGGCAGTTACCGAAACAAAACAGCCTACCAACAGACATCACCAAGCCAAATACCCACAAAAGCATCACCACTTTAATTACTCGACTAACTGGAACAAGCTCTTGGTACCGTAGATGTAAGCGTATGGCAAGGTAACGGTCGAAAGAAATAGCTGCTATTGTCATAAATGCAGTTGCAGTAAAGGTAAACGCCAATATCTCACTTCCCAGGCCAGCTATACAGTATGGGAGAAATTTTTCTTCCATTTCGCTAATTTTATACAAGGCACACAGCGGTTGGACGATCAAGCCCACCCCAAGGTCCGAAACCGCCAAGCTAAATAGAAGACAATTTGAAGGAGTGTGAAGACTTGGGTTTTTCAATATGGTCATGAGGACTACGGCATTGCCGAGTGTTGCTGGAATGGCAAGAAGGGCGTTCACAGTGCTTGAAAAGATGAACGTCCACTTTATGTATTTGACATGGTCGAATGTCACAAACAGAAAGTAACAGCTTCCAGTTGATCCACTAGTATTGAATGAGGCGTTTGCGTTCATTCTAAACTTTGAACTTTGTGCGCGCCGTAGAAGTGAGGAGCAGTTATAAGAGGAGCAAACAGAGAAAACCTGTGTATATAGGCTGCAGCAGCTGTAACTAAGTCGTATCTCTATTGGTAATTTAAAAAGTATTGAAAAGTTCACGTATTATGAATGGATGACACCAGACACAAAAGCAATAACAATGAAAACTAAATTCTCTTAAAATATGGCTCACTTTAATAAAAGCCTTCAAGTTTCCGCTAGGCCGTTTCTTAAGTAACCTGGAGTGAGCAAAACGTACATTGAAATCTCTTGAAATTTCATAAAAGAAAGAAAGACAGTTTTGACGAATAATTATAAATTGAAGTAAAAAGTACATAAACGTGTTTGAACTGTGGCTTACAAAATCCCGTGTGTAAATACAAAATTGAATGTCGCAAAAAGACTTCAATTGACTCCAATATTGTAGATAGAATATTATATTTAACTTCGCAAATAAACACCATTGAAACTGCAGGGTTTGGGAAGGAAATTAAAGATAAATAGGTAGCTGAAATATTGTGAACTAATGGTTACATTTTACATTTATCACTATAAATCGTTCTAAGTTACATTGACAACGGCATACAATACTGCTTCAATTGTTTAAAGTCTTCACATCTATAATCACGTCTAGTATAACGGGTTTGCGAAGGGCAAATATAAAAATGTCATCGAAGATAGCATTTGTGGTTATATTGTTTGCTAAGATGAAAACAATAAAACAAAATCAATATTTTTTTCAAATTAAAGAAATTTGACAAAAATTGGCTTGCCAGATGACTATGTCTTTAAGACTAACCTCGTGATTAGACTGGCGCGGCGAACTTCCATCCAATATAGTTTTTCTTCTTTAGCACCAGGTCTTAAAATTGACCATGAATCAATCTTTTCGACACTGCGCTTTATTGCGAGCTCTTACGCTGCGAAGCACTCACAGGCAAACAGACATATCAATCAAACGAGGGAAAAGCACACAGATCGATTCTATTAACTCAGTATTTCTTTCAATTGATTCGAGTCTTAATCAATTATTTTCAAATCCTCGCAAAATGAATTGCGGTCTAGTCACGTCCAACTTTACAAGTTATATAAACTTTGAAATTTCCAATCGGAAAGTCTGTAAGTTATGGTAAATTCGAATCACTGTAATATTAAGATTTACACTGTTTGTTTGAGTTTTAAGAATATATCTAGTCGGTATCTTTGCTCACCTAACGTATACCAGTCCACCCTATAGTACTTCTTTACCAAGAAGTTTCAGAATACAACTTAATTTTATTCGTCTTGACATTTTAATCTGCTGCTTCTCAGTCGTAGTTATTGAGTTGTCGTTGGCGTGGGTGCAATTAGCACGAATGAAGCTTGAAAAATTAGGATGTTAAATTCCATGAGCCTTCCGAGGCGAATGCAATTTTTCTTAATTTTTGTGCTTCGCGAGTGCTGATTTTTTCAAATTGCAGGAGAAACCATTTGATTTTCTTTTAATAATATGACCATCAATTTTTTTTAGGTCAAATACAAATTCTCATTTCATGGCGTGCGTTCGTATGATGAAGCGAACTTTCCTTAATTCGTTTTTTTGAAGTTAAAAATACTACTACTAATAATGATAATGAAAGACATTAATTTTATTGTAAATAGATTTTTTTTTTCACTGTGATTTCACGTTTTTGCACTGTGATTTGGGAAAAATTACCGAGTAGCCAACCAATCAGAATCGAGGATTTTTGATGGTCATGTTATTAATGATGGTAATTGAACTGAGTGGAGTGCAATTTGAACCAAAATCATACGAGTGATTACAAAATTGCACGACACGAAGTTCAATTACCACTTAATCATATCCTTTTTGTAATCATACACAAGGAAAAGACACAATAAAGGGTGCAGAATAATCAATTTAATGTAGAAGAAGAAGTAAATCAATCAGGTTTTTCCTGGTATAAAATAAACGATTTATCAGCAAATCATTGAATATTCATAAATAATGCTAATCATTCTCTTCTCTGATTGGCTGAATATAAGAATTCTGTTCTGTGATTGGTTCTTTCAAAAGGATGCGATTAAGAGCTCAAAAGGATGCGATTAAGAGTTCCTAAGGATGCAATTTGGGAATTAATCGCACTCCTTTGAATCAATCACATTGCAGGATTTGGTGGTGATTACAAAAAGGATATGATTAAAAAAGATATTGATCAAGGGAGGGGGGACTTTGTCCCAGTTTTGGGAATCGTGAATTTTCGGTCCTGCAGTTCAAACTGGGTCGCTGTAAGACGCTGTATCTGCTCTTATCCTTTCCAGTTAATCTGAAGTACTAAAGTAAAAATGACGTCGCTAGCTGCAAAACTGAGTTTTCAATGATAAAACCAGCGTGAAATAAAACATGTCCGCCATTGCAACAAATATATAAAACCAAGAGAATCCCCGTTCCCCATCATGTGCACACTTTGATGCTATTTTTAGAATCATTGATGCTATTTTTAACTCGTTAACATGCCCGCGCGATAATCATGCTTTCCTTTAACGGCTCGTTTAAGGACACGAAAAGCGCCATATTTCACTACTTCCACACCATGATTGGCAAATACCTTCAAAATCAGTAAAAAGTTGAAATGATTAAAGTATCATGTGCTCTTCATGGAAGATGTAACAGAACATCGAAAAAGATCAAACCAGGATGATTTTCAGTATACGAACAAGCTAAAAACAGCGAAGACGCCATGGGGAAGGAAACCGCAATAAAAAATGCGATGAAAATAGCGAAAAACCTACAGTGAAGACAGCCAAAAAAGCATTTATCGTAGTGTTTCTATAGTAAATAAAGTTTAAGTTAAAGTAATTAAGAAGACGACGAACAAGACCAGTATTTTGTTTCACACACGAATCAGAACAAACTATTTGCACCGAAATGTGCCGAAGAAAAATTTCTGTTTTCACATAGGAAAAAACTGCAAGAGGCACTAAAATGATTTTTCACAATTATTAAATATGTTTAGCTTGCCAAAATACGGTATGTCAGTTTATGCAAAAGACATTGCCCATTGAGAAAAGGCGAATTAATGAAAAAGTTTGACTACTAAAATTAGAACTTGCTTTCATATTTTGCACCTTGAATTTTCGCTCCACCTCAACGTTCAGGTATTGAAAGTCCCCAACAGACAATAGAGAAATACAATCACAATATCGGCCAAGTACAAAAAGTGTATCAAACTTATTATTTGAGGATTCAAACTAATAAAAAAGATATTATTTTTACCTGATTGAAGGGGATTTTACTTGCGATGTTTTTCACCAGATGCTCTCAGTTCGGCGTATTTGTGCCTTTATGCTTAATTCTTCTATTCCGAGCAGCTTGACGGTTTTCAGCTTTCTTAAAACCTCTTCTTTTTACTGGTAAACAACTGATTCCAACAGTAAATGCTAAATTTTCTCTCAAGTTTAAAGTTTTTTAAACTTTTGACTCAGTGAATTCAACAAGTTTGTTCATCGAAAATCCGGCTCTTTCGTAAAC